ATATGAAACTGAATCCTGCTACACTGATTCTAATCTATGTTCTGAGCCTTCTATATGCAACTTCTTTCAGTAGAATATATTTAATGATTTTCCGCTACATCTCAATGAATTCAATAATAGAAGAGTAGTACAAACTGAAGGTTAAGTGAAAAACACATTCTAACCAATGAATATACAACTTCATTTAAAACATTACACTATCTTTTTCGTTTCATCAAAATATTATTCTAGTTACTAAATCGTTGATTCTTTTGATACAACTAATATGGTATAGCAACTGGAACTGATGTTAGTACGTACGTACGTACGAAATTCTACATTGTTGCTGACTGCCTGATACAACTAATATTTTACAGAAACAATAATATAATACAGATTTATTGTACACATTTACTTACTTCTATTCCTTTTCTACCAATACATCGACATTTATCTGGAGTACAAATACGTTGACATCTGTATGGATCATTGATGTCTATTTGCTAATCACAATTTTAAATAAAAATACACAATTCATTAAAACATCAATAAGGAACTTTGGTAAAACTATAATTAGCATGAAAGCAGTTTTAAAATTATATCTATATTTACAATAAAAATGACAATATATTTAATCTGTAAAACCTCATAGAATATTTCAAAGACAACGGATCCCTAGACAGATCATCACATTCAACAACTGAATGTCCAGGCTTTTTTTGCTATAATTTTGTAAGTACTGGATTACATTACGGAGTATATTAGAGTTACTAATGTGAACAAAGAAACAAGAAGCCTTGACAAACTATGGAGGCTATTTTTCGGGACATTATTTCATCTGAGTCCCAGAGTGAACATGAACTCTGAGATGCAGGTACACCCGGCTGACGAGTCCCAAATAGGACGAAACGCGCGTCAAACTGGATTCCACGACTAGCCATTACTCATCATTACCTACAAAAAGCTTGTGAATTAAGCCAATATCAAAGCAAACGCACAGTATGCATATACGCCAATAACAGACTGATCAATTGCAGTCTTAAAGGTCAATGGGAAGATACAAACCAAACAATACCAAGTGAATTATTTCATTCAGATCAAAACTTGTAAAACATTAATGTTTATTTTTGTCCCTAGTCTATTCTACAGATCATAGGTTTTCGTTTGATGTATGTACGATTCACTGACATAGCCTTTTCTGTTCCAAAGCTATTGTAGCGAGACTGTAATTTATGGACGAACCAATTAAGTATAAGATAACAGGTCTTGGATTTTGGCGCGAAGTTCACTCATTCACTTGGCTAAATAGAGTTTTGACATTGTGGCTGATGTCAGCTTGTGATGAAAACCTTAAATATAATTCCTAACCTTAACCATCAGCTGTAAGTCATAATTCTAATTCCTCATACTGCTTTATAATCTTCATTTGGTCTTAGTTATTAGGTGGACACTCTCAAGGTCACTTTAGCGTCGTTCGTAAATTATAGTCACACCGCTATTGTAATTTAAATGTAATCTTTTGTGCTTAATTTTCTACTCCGATCCCCATATTTGGACATAATTGTGTTTTCTTAATTATTTGTACGTTTTAGTCTGGTTAGTCATCTATTTATTCATGTATCTTTTTACATCAATCTGAATCGGGAATCAGATCGGAATTGGGAATAAATCGAGTAGCACTCCAGTTGACTTGTCTTCTCTCTCTCCCTCTTGTGCTTGTCAGGTGACAGGATGGTTTTCGTCTCTCTACCTCAAGCAGTTGATCTCACTTCAAACTTACGCATACTAGCATCAAGGTTCAGCCACGTCAGCCTATCGCATCAAAGTCTTAGTCTAAATTTAGACAAGTTATCCTCTGTATGGAAGTGGGTAGACAGATCAAGGGCGTAACAATTACATATAAATATTTAAATTGATAAATTTTAAGTCAATTAATCCCGAACAAAAGACAAACTGTAAGATTAACGAGAAATTAATGTTGTACACTGAATCTTTTGAAAGTAGAAATTTATAATTTGAATTTAGATTTTAATCTGGATCAGTATTGAGTAATCGAAATTTCTTTTCTGGTAGGATTCGATCAATTTTAAACAAATAACACTAACTACCATCAAACATTCAATTTCAATACAAACATAAGATTTACTTATCAACATTAACTGGATTCTAGTCAGAGTTCATCTATACAGATAGGGAAAATCAATCAATCCACAATATTACGCGACCATCTTCCATTGTTTTTGTTGGGTAACTGCCTCAAACCTGCGTGCGGGATCGTGGATATGCACAGCTGAAGAGTCCTATGCTGGAACGAAATGGCCGTCCAGTGTTTTTAGCTTTTAAATAGTAGTTTAACAGTGACTAGTCCATTATCTCAATTAAGATTCAACAATCTCTGCAACCCTAAAAAGTCATACATAAGTTTGATGATCGTGTAAGGTTTCTTTTTTCTTTACAAGTATCTTATTCAAGTATGTTCCGTACTAATCTGAAATCAGAATCTGAGAAGAATCATTAGTTAAGACAGTAAAGACTTGATGTTTATCACTGAATCTATTTCTGAAGTATAACTTGATCTAATTAGTACAGGAATAGGAAATAGGTACTTTTAGTTAAAATAGTTTGGTAAAATCCTTACCAAACAGTAATGAGAAGTATCACTAATGAATAACAATAAGATTAATTGAAAAATCACAATTTTCATCTATCGGTAGTCATATTATAATAGATTACACCAATAATCAGAATGAGTTGAAGTTGTGTACATTTAAAAAACACCATGGTGTTTGTCACAAACTGATATCAATTGTAGATCCATTGAAAATCAGAAACTGATGAATTAATGTCTTTACCTGGTTTAAGATATCTCATGAGTATGTATCTTATGAGCGCAATACTTTTATATCTTATCAAAGTTTACGAAATCTTCAAGCTAGAATTTCCAATGGTTTTCAATGATTTGTGATACATAACAATACACACTTCATTTTAGTCATTATCTTACTGATGACTTAATTATTCCATAAAGAACTCAAGCAATCGGTTATAAGCTTATCGATTTTGTATGCAAAATGACGGCGATTGATGAATAACTATCAATGGATTCATAAAGTTTTAATATGAATTTAACAAAAGCATCTGTATCCAATATGTGATAGATAAATAAAATACTCTGTATTGACTGTTATATCGTAGCGGAAACTAGATTATGGGTAACTTCAAAGAGATATTAATGGACTAATATTATACGTATATTCTTATTGTATAACTATTGAGTAACTACATTATGTAAATCTATACTCCTCTTATTACAAGATTTACTTTGAACTATTATTATATGATTTACTATTCTTAAGTTATACCGAGTTTATGAATTACAATCTTTGACAATCACGGACACTTTTTGGCTTGTCCTTGTACGATTATTATTTTTTATTTATGGTATGATGTGGTTTGGTTGGCTTGTATATAAAAGAGGTACATCCATCTGACAAGTTTGGAAATAGAACTAAACGCGCGTTTTGGATTCCACTCCTAGTAATCATTCATCTTTGCTTATAATGCTTGTGACTTCAGGCAATCTACACAGGATACACATATGTTAGTGAGAGACTGATCAATTGCAGTCCTAAACATCAATGAGAAGATCCAAATAAACAGTATTAAGTGAATTTAAACCAAGTATGTTTGAAATATATGACTTATACAGCAGAAGATGATATTGGCATTCTGGACTCAACAGGCCAGGCTCGGCAGAAAAAGGATCAATAAAGACGCAAGACTACTCATACTAGTCAATACGTCATTGTTGTGGCACAGTGTTAAAATTGTATAAGTCATATTCTGATTAGCTACCTTATCATGTGATATTTTAACTGAGCAAATGTCACAATACTGATCGATTCTTTTCAGTAGATATGCACAGTCATGTAATGGATATATACAAGAGGTAATAAACATATAAAACAATTAAATAATCATTCAATTACCTGTGTTACACCAATTTGTATGATTACCACTGAGAAAAATATAGATACAAACCTACAAATAATGAAACAAAACAAAAAAGAGAGCGATAATCTGTTAAAACAAACAGAATTTGACTTTGAACTTACTTACTTACTTACTTGCTTACACCTGCTACTGCCAATACAGCGTAGGCCTCCGATCAGCATTCTCTAACCCACTCAGTCCTGGGCCTTCCTTCCTAGTTCTATCCCCTTCTCCTTTGACCTTGAGGATTCCATGTGAGGACCTGACCTGTGACGCAGTTCGGTGCTTTCCTCAATATGTGTCCTATTCACTCCCAGCGCTTCTTCCTGATTTCTTCCTCCGCTGGGATCTGGTTTGTTCTCTCCCATGGTAGTTTGTTTCTAATAGTGTCTGGCCAACGCGTCCGAAGTATTTTGTGTAGACAACTGTCAATAAACACTTGTATCTTCTGCATGATAGCTTTCGCAGTTCTCCAAGTTTCCACCCCACACAATAGAACTGTCTTCAAATTCGTAGAAATGTCTTTGACATTCAACTTTGAAATATTGAATTTAATGATTTACATTAAATCGTTATCGTAATAAATGACAAACAACTTTCCAAAATCAATAATACTTCATAGTTTTATGAACTTCATCGAAACATAGGCATGTACATCATCATCATCATCATCATCATCATCATCACCATCATCATCATCATCATCATCATCATCATCATCATCATCATCATCATCATCATCATCATCATCATCATCATCATCATCATCATCATCATCATCATCATCATCATCATCATCATCATCATCATCATCATCATCATCATCATCATCATCATCATCATCATCATCATCATCATCATCATCATCATCATCATCATCATCATCATCATCATCATCATCATCATCATCATCATCATCATCATCATCATCATCATCATCATCATCATCATCATCATCATCATCATCATCATCATCATCATCATCATCATCATCATCATCATCATCATCATCATCATCATCATCATCATCATATCATCATCATCATCATCATCATCATCATCATCATCATCATCATCATCATCATCATCATCATCATCATCATCATCATCATCATCATCATCATCATCATCATCATCATCATCATCATCATCATCATCATCATCATCATCATCATCATCATCATCATCATCATCATCATCATCATCATCATCATCATCATCATCATCATCATCATCATCATCATCATCATCATCATCATCATCATCATCATCATCATCATCATCATCATCATCATCATCATCATCATCATCATCATCATCATCATCATCATCATCATCATCATCATCATCATCATCATCATCATCATCATCATCATCATCATCATCATCATCATCATCATCATCATCATCATCATCATCATCATCATCATCATCATCATCATCATCATCATCATCATCATCATCATCATCATCATCATCATCATCATCATCATCATCATCATCATCATCATCATCATCATCATCATCATCATCATCATCATCATCATCATCATCATCATCATCATCATCATCATCATCATCATCATCATCATCATCATCATCATCATCATCATCATCATCATCATCATCATCATCATCATCATCATCATCATCATCATCATCATCATCATCATCATCATCATCATCATCATCATCATCATCATCATCATCATCATCATCATCATCATCATCATCATCATCATCATCATCATCATCATCATCATCATCATCATCATCATCATCATCATCATCATCATCATCATCATCATCATCATCATCATCACCATTATTATTATTATTATTATTATTATTATTATTATTATTATTATCTATAATTATAAATATAACTATGCCTCATCATAATGATGTAACAGTTCGGTTTATATGCCAAATGAAATAAATTTTTAGGTTTTAATATAAATTTGTTTGTTTTATTTCCCTGTTGTTGTTTGTTTGTTTTTTCATTTCTATTAATTTATGGACCACACATATTGGTAATATTATCATTCTTACATGTAGTTTAGACTTTTCAGTATTCTTATCGTTACTATTCATGAAGAGGTTTAAGAATAAACATAGAAAAGATTATTATTATTATTAGTAGTAGTAGTAATTGGAAGAAAAGAAGGAGAAGAGAAAGAGAAAGAAGAGAAGTGAATAGCAAAGTATCAATGTTGAAAACTACACCTCTAATTTACTTAAATTGATTTCCCATGTACCATGTAAATAACATTGTTCAATAATGTTGTAGAAGTTAGTTGAATATAATGTAATTTATATACGTTTACGTATATTTATGATGATTAGTATCATTGTTAATTCAGCTTTCATTGCTAGAAGTAACAGAAATTAATTTCAGTTAATACAGTGAAATGGATAATTATTAAATTCTATGTGAATCTATTGAATTAATCTTTTTGGTAAGGGTTTTTTTAGCGAGTTAGTTTTCTACGGGATGGGGTCGCTAACCCCATGTTCAACCTTTCTCCTTTACCCGGGCTTGAGACCGGCAGTAACCCTAGAAGAGCTACAGGCGGAATCCTGAAGAGAAGCGGAAAAGGGGAAGACCAAAGAACACATTACGTCGGGAAAATGGGAGCAGATATGAAAAGGATAAATAACAACTGGAAAGAGCTGGAAAGAATTACCTAGGACAGGGTTGGATGGAGGATGCTGTGGGCGGCCTATGCTTCTCTACAAGGAGTAACAGGTGTTAGTAAGTAAGTAATATTAATCTATGATTTTATCACTAAAATTATTTGAAGTTATTTTGTTCGGCAACGAAAAATAGGTAACTATGAACAAAATTCAATGTAATTTATCAAACATTGGTTAACTCTACTCTCTAGTACATTATCATCGAAAGTGACACTTGGAGAACTATTAAAAACATCAAAAAGGTTTAACTACTTATAAACAGTTGCCTACGCAAAATATTCAATATCCGTTGATCGGATACTATCAGTAACACTATTCTGTGGGAGAGAACAAATCAGCTTCCAATTGAAAGGGAAAGTAGGAAAAGACGTTGGGAGTGGATAGGATATATATATATATATATATATATATATATATATATATATATATATATATTACAGAAATCACCAAACTCCATCACGAGGCAAGTACTAACATGGAATCGTGAAGAGGAACAAAAAAAGAGGAAGTCCAGAGAACACACTATGTCGGGAGTTGGAAGCAGACATGAAAAGAATGAATAGCAACTGGAAACAAAGTGGAAAGAATAGTCCATGACAGAGTTGGGCAGAGAATGTTGATAAGCGGTCTATGCTCCTCCACGAGGAGTAAAAGGTGTTTTGTTAAAAGTATAAACAAGAAGAAATTGTTTCTTGGAATATGAAATTGTTGAAAGTTGCGCAATACAAGAAAGAATTAAAAAACTAATCACATAAGTAGATTTCATTTATTTCACTTATTAACTAAATTCACTTAATTCTTTTTAAGTTTTACTGAAATCTGATGATTAGTTAATAAATGATGCATAAAATTGAAATAAAGTTAATTTTACACAAGATTACTATATCATTACATATCATACCGAAAAGCTGTATCCTAGCAGATTCATAAACTGTAGATCTGGTTGTTTTTGTTACAATGAAATGGATATATTTTGGATAGAATCATAAGTTTGAAACAAGTTTGAGTACTTCAGTCCTCATTTCAATTTAGATCGTTTTGTCTTCTCTGAAACATTCTTATTCTCAGAAATTTTATATTATCATGAATTCAATGTTACATTTCAAATGATGATCACGTAACAGATTGATACTTGTCAAAAAAACACAGTAAACATTTGACTGTTATATGAAGTTTTAATTTTATTTTATGAGTAATAATAACATTTTGATAACTTTCTGATTAAGTGTGAAAATTACATCAACCATTGTAATTAACAGGCAAAATCCGACTCACACGTCCGTGTCGTGCCTCCTGGATAATGAGACGAATGACTCATGAACTAACGTGAGCAGTAACACGGGTGGTGGAGATCGGGCTAATCACCCACTCTTACCTATACCGACCAATCAATTACGAATCCCACAGAGAAACATAGCACAATTACATTTGGAATGGAAAACTTTCATTTTTAGTAATGGGTTTGTGGAGATTAATAAGTTTTTGATTGAAATCATGAACCGATTGACGTTCGACCACCATTGAAAACCTGGAAGCACTGAATGGACGTTTTGTCTCAGCTTCAAGATGGATTTCCTGGAGTTCTAATGAGATGTCGTGATCAGTGGAGTCAAATCCGTGTCAGGTGAAGACACTTATTCACCTCAGACAATGAATGAAGGGTTGTGTTTCATCATGGGTCAATCGAAGGTAGACATCAACACAGTTGGAAGCTGACTCAGTGGTTTCGAGGTTAGGCGTACGTGCGCGAGACCGAAGGTCCTGGGTTCGATTACTGCATGTGGGATCATAGATGTGAACTGATGACGAGTTTCATACTAGGTCGAAATGGCCTTTCAGTGATTCCACGTCTTCAATGGTAGTGTAGCGTAGATCAACTGATAAATTCAACTATTACATTTATCCACTCATATTTTTGAATTGTATTAAATCTTCACAAATCTACTTCTGTAAATTCTTTATTGATTTTGAATGAGCTCATGATATTTTTCAAGTTTCATAAGTCCAATATGAAAAATATTTTCACTTCAATAGAATAGATCAAATGAATTTTATCACTAAATATTGTATTTCATTTAAGCATATATATATTTCAATAGTTGAGACTGTGAGTCGATTGAAGCTAGACCACCATGGGAAACCTGGAAGAACTAGAAGGCCGTTTCGTCCTATTGTAGGACTCTACATCAGTGAGCATCCGTGATCCTGCCTCTCGAGATTTACGACGTAGGACCTATCGGTTTGGCGCGCGTTTATTATGTTTAACAAATGCAATTTTTTGTAGTTCTATTGACTACACATATTAGTAGCAAATAGTACATTAGAGTATAAAGTGATTCTTTTGTAATTATTGTAGAATGAATATTTAGTACACTACTGTATGCTAACGAATCAAACTGAATAAAAATATATTCCTCAGTTGTCTGAAAAGAATTAATAGTCGATTTCTAATAGGAGACACTAACCAAATATGTAAATATTCATTGATCGGTTCACGATCTTAGTAAAAATTTTAAAACTTTCCATAACCATATATGGATAAATTTATTACTTTTATGTTCAAATAGACAGACTGAAAATAAAGTTACATTCTGTGTAATATAGAAATTATACCAAAAGGGTTTTTGTGAATACTATAGTAATTTCAGTGGTTGAGATCATGCGTCAAGTGAAGTTAAACCACCATGGAAAACCTGGAAGCATTGGAAGGCCATTTCGAATCTCGCGAAGCAAGATCATGGATGCGCACTGCTGAGGAGTCCCATACTAGGACGAAACGAGCGTCCAGTACTTCCAGGTTTTTCATGGTGGTCTAGCTTCAATTGACTCATGGTCTCAACCATTGAAATTACTATAATATCCAAAACACCCATTCTGATACTAATCAACATATGCACACTAGTGACTGGCTTCAACAGGTATATCCTGAAGTTCTAGTGAGAAGCAGTGACCAGTGGAGTTCAACAGGGTCTTTTGTCAGATAGTAACTCACTGATGACAATGATGAATGTGTCGCTCAATCTCGTGGATTGGTTGAAGTTAGATATTAATACTTTTAGATGCCGGCCGGCTCATTGGTTTAGTGGTTAAGCTCTCGCGCGCGAGACTGATAGATCGTGGGTTGGAATCTCGTGAGACGTGATCGTGTACTGCTGAGGAATCCCACAGTGGGACGAAACAGTCGTCCAATGCTCCCAGGTTTTCCATGGTGGTTTAGCTTCAATTAACTCATTATCTCAACCATTGACATAGAAATTAGTCAGAGATTTAGAAAAATATCTATAAACGGATTCCAGATACATGCGAACTCAAGTGAAATCGACTCGTTTAAGTAAATAAGTAAGTTGATTAACACTTTTACTCAGAAGAGCATAAGAGTTGAATAAAATGATAAGAGTAATTGGCGAGACTATAACTTATTGGTGGACCAATCAGATTTATGAATAACATGCTTTGGATTTTGGCACGAAATTCATTCGTCCATTTTGCTAAAAATAACGTCATGACATTTTAGTTGATGTCAGTTCGTGATAAATCTAATTTCTAACCCTAATCATCAAATGTAAATCGTAATTCTAATTCCTCACACTGGTTTATAACCCTCATTGAGCCATAGTAAGTTGGTCACTTTGGCATCTCCCAAGGGTCGTCAATAAATTATGGTCTGATCTTAAACTTATCAACTGTTGATAACGAAAGTACTTCATCTGAGTTCTTCCGTAAATAATCATTGTTTTCTATGACTCTTGAGTAGGAAAAATATGTTTTGATAAAAAAAAACTGTTCACTAACTATCTAAGTACTTATTTTTAAAACGATGTACAGGTAAATTACATTAGCAAGAACTAAATTCACTTGATTTTGTTTACTTCAATATTCCCATTGATGTTTAGGACTGAAATTGATCAGTGTCTTATTGACATATGTGCATCCTATGCGTATTGCCTCGATATTGCTTTAATTCAAAAGGACTCAGTAGTTAAGGGGATAATGCAATGGTGATTGCAGTGAACGGTAATGGGGTCCGAGTCCCAGGATCAACATCAACTCTCAAGTGCAAGTACATAGAGCTGACGAGTCCCGAATAGGACGAAACTCACGTCCTGGATTCCATTGCTAGCCATTATCC